AGGTCTGTACTTACATTTGAAGTCAATTCCTCGGCATTTCACTTTCAAAATTTACATTCTGTTAATATGAGTATAACCGACTGCTGATTCAGGGATGACTGCTCATAACACTAGAGAGACACATTTCAACACTTTTTGTCTTAAGCAAGCTTACAGATTCATCCCGAGGAGTTGTATTTTCCTCCTTTACTTACTGTATTAGTCGAATCCCTATTGGAACACATGTGTGTACAAAGCCTTGCCACGAAGTGTGTTGTACGATGCTTGCAAAAAAAAAAAAATGGATTAAAATACATTGCGCACCGCTGACCATGATTATTTTGGGCTGGTGTTGTCGGTATCGATAGAGCGATTCATTGGGATCAGGTCACCGATGCACGCTCATTTCAAGTGGAAGGAGAAGGGCGTATTGTTCATTGTTGTACCGATATTTATTGGCGCATTCATTATCACATTTTATCACCACATTGCTTACAAGTACAGTATCTATACAATATGTAATGGCACACAGCTGAAGGGTAACGTCAGGCCGGTTCGTTTAGCAAATCATTATCTTCACATTACGTCTCCAAGTTTCATTCAGATTTGCCATGTGGAATATTGCAACAATCAGTCAAAAAAAAACATGTCAAAAACATTAATGAAATAAAATGACTGTGGGAAAAATTGACGCGTTTAAATGTTGCTAATTTTCAAGAAAAAATAAATTCTATTTACACCTTTTGAAAAGAGCGGTGAATTTTTCGGACTCTGAGTTTCGCCAATTCGCTGAAATTTGGAACAAATGTATCCAGCAGATGGTTTAGGTCAGCTACCGCTCTGCCTCACAAAGAAGGGAATAAGATGGCTGGCGAAATTGTGCATTTTTGCAGCAAGCTTTTGCATGCTCAAAGATTCGTTTTTACTTCGTCATGGTTGTTTTTTAACGTGTTCATTGCATGTAAAGCACTAGAAAAGCCGAAAACTTGGTATTTGATTGTACAAGATTCGAATTCCATTTTTTACATTCATCCCAACATTTGTCTGATCAGTAATCGATATCCAATCTCATTTTCAGGCGCTTTCAGTATGGAATGATACAGTCTCCTCTAGTACTTCGAACTCTGTTGGTTTTGAAGTGCCACTTCCTTTTGCGGACTGCGACAGTTTTTAAGTCCCACCTTCCACTCCTCTCCGATTTGCCTGTAGATGAGAGAGTATTCCAACCTTTTTTACGCATTTTTTGCAGCTGTGCAATGCAGAAAACGCATATTGACGAGAGGTTGTCTGTGTTTGTGTGTGTCTATGTGTTCGTCTGTACCGATTTTTCATCTCGAGACCGGCAAAAGCTACGGGGCTGAA